TAACTAAAATATTTAAATAACTTCTGATATCAAAGGTGTTTGTAATGTCTGAATTACTTTTGATGTTTAAATATTACTATTTTTATATTTGTAAATTGGCTGCTATGAACTTTACTAACATTTAGTTTTTAATTAATCAATTAAATAATATTTAATTGAATTATTTATTAAATATTTAATTTAAATGTTTAAATATTTGGCTCAAATACTTAGTTAAACTATGTTCTCAAAACCAAAAACAAAGATTGTAATGTGCTGTGTTTTTTGAGGACAGGCTGTAAAGCACAAGCACCAGCATCCTGAAACAGCAGTGAAGTGTTTCCAGGACCCTGTGATTCCTTTTGACTTTAGCTGAATGAACATACCTTTCAATGGGATTTCCCGACCTGTCTGTATGAGTCCGTTTGTATTGCACATTCAATATATAGTTCAACATTACCAAGGAGAATCCACATTGCACTGAGGATCTGTTTATAGGGGCTGACCGAGAAAGAAAGATGGATATGTGTTCTTAAAATAAACAAGATGAATCAGGAGATTTTGTTAACAAAAATGGGACTCAAATAGAAAATGTTACAATGTTTCATAAGAACAGTCACTCTGGTAGTATGAAATGTTCTGACCCCGGTTAACAAGCTGTGAAGAGCAGGTACTAGACTCGTGGAGACCGGACCGACCGCTGGTCTTGTACCTGGAGAGGTGGCCCTCTTTTTTTCTGTGGCGTGAGTTAATTACAATGAAGCCAGCTCCCTCTGGACATCCAGTCATATAACAGCTGGCGCTGAACAGCTTCAGAGGGATACAGTCACCTAATTATACCAGCCAGAAAGTGTCTTGCACAAGAGTTTCAACTGTCCCAGAGAGTGCCAGAACAGGGCTTTAATATGCAAATATATTATCAAACCATTTTTAGCTTCTTTAGTCAACTTAGTAATGTTTCTGATGTTTAATGGATTTGGAGTGCCTTTCAAATGCATTTCAGATGCGTTTTCAGACTGTTTTTAAGCTTGGTTTGATCACTGAATGAGAGTTTGATTTCTATGGAAACGTATTTCTGCCATGGAATTTAAAAAAAAATATATATATATATATA